TATATAAGTAAGGCTTCAAAACTTGTCAAACTATACATATGGAGTATGTATTTCATTCTCCCAACACTCCTGAATTTCTACCATTTTCAAAATGTACAAACAATAAATGTATTGTATCATTTTATATTCGATAAATGTCAAAATTCTGGTGAAATGTGTAACGCGATACATGAACTTCGATTTTCTGTAACATTGCACACGATTTTGATTCGATTTAATTTTCACACGAAGCTATACGTTGGAGTACAATCGACCAACAATCGAGCTGAGACATGTATGGTCTGAGATTTGAATACAATAGAAAAGAACTGAATGATCTCTAGTTCCTTGGCCGCAAAAACTTACCTCAATATGACTTTCGGAGATACGATGAAGATAAAATCACATGATGTTCTAATACCATCATTGTATGTTAATCGGAATTCATTCGGCCTCTGAATCATCGCCACTATCTACATACATCTCCAAACCTTCATCATCATCATCGCCATTAGTCGGTTTCCACTCTTCTTCTTCCTTTTTCCTCCTCTCTTCCTCCATTTCCCTCTCAGCTGCTTGAGCCTTTGCTTTTTCAAGTCTATCATTAACTGCTTCCCAAGATACAAGCTTCTCCATGAACATCGATATGTATTCTGCCCGTCGATTCTGCCAGAAGAAAAGATTTACGTACTTTTTTAGATTCATTTGACAACATTACATCGGAACCAACAAATAAATTCTTCATCACACATGTCGAAGCAATTAAAACTTTACCTGAAAGTCAAGGTAATAAGCATGCTGTCGACATAGAACATATCCCACCAGTGGAATTAGTATTAGTTGAACGAATAATTCGGGAATAATTTAATATCAGATTGTTCAAACCGAAAAAAATGGCATACCTCCCAGACATCAATGGTGAGGAGTGGCTGTGGAAAATAAACAGATGATAATGTTAGATGCATCAAACTAATAAATATAATAGCATCTGCAGATTGCTTTCTACATTAGCTAACATACATATATGGTTGTAAGATGAATTAGAAGTGTGTAGGTACTCACAAAGTAGTCCCAAACAAGTGGATTCACAGCATTTGGACTTTTCACGATTACGAGCTTCTTATCATTTTCCGAGGACCAAGGATTTACCGCGTTTTCCAGACCAAGCCTATTTGCTTTGTCTGGGTAGAATCGACACATTAAAGTCCAAATTATGCCAAGAACTAGATAATTTTAATGGAAAAAGCACAGATGTTATTCTAAGAGGTCACATACACGCAAGCCATGCCCAGCCGGAACCAAACTGTGTAGCTGCAGCAGACTTGAACTCTTCAGTAAATCGTTCAAAGGAACCGAAATCTCTTTCGATCAGATCTAGAAGATCCCCGGACGGCTTTCCTCCACCACCTGGTCTCATTGATTCCCAGAAGAAATCATGGTTCCAGGCCTGCAAACAGGTTATAAAACTTGAAAGAAAAACGTAATACGCCATTGGAGATTCACTCATTTGTATGACATATACCTGTGCAGCACTGTTGAATGCAGGGAGTATGTCACCCCTATTGTAAGAAACAATGATAACGTCTTCCAAAGACAGCCCTTCTAGATCTGTTCCTCCGACTTGCTTGTTTAGATTCTCCACATAGGCTCTGTGATGCTTTCCCCAATGATACTCGAGGGTTTCTCGGCTCATATGGGGTTCCAATGCATTCTGGGAATATGAAGAAATAACAAAATTTTAACATTGTTTGCAGCTCAGTTTATTTCTTTGCATCATTTCTTATTTGCCTTGGAGCTCAGACATGAACATTAACAAATGCTAGAAGATTTCTCTAAAGAAAGTAACATATTATATCTCCAACAGGAAGCAACAAGTCCGCTATCGGAATAGTGGCCGTTATATAGCGGTAACGGTGCCATCTGAAACCATTATTGCATGACCGCGATACTCGTAATGACCTCAATAACATCCGTTATATCCGCAATCGTAATAATCGCAACGCGACATCAACAGAGATTTATATCCTTGGGTCTAACTATGCCCCATTAACACCCACTGGAAGCTACTAAAAAAGATTGCATTTTTCAATAAAAACGATACAGAAAATATAACTTTTGAGTTTTTTTACCAGGGGATACGGAGGTGGTTTCAGCTCATATGTTGCCGTTATAACATTTGAAGCATCTTTCCTCATAATGCGTCTCTGCAGAAGACAAAATAGTTTCTTTGGCTTAGAAATGTAAATGAGATAAATGTAAATGAGAAGAGATATATCCCGAGTTACTCGAGTTCGGCTTGATCAAAACTCGGTTAACACTCATTTCTAATGGACTCACTCGAGCTCAAACATGACTTGAGTTCTTAATGAACCGAAACGAGTAACTTGATATTTAACTGAAAAAAGTAATATATTAAAATTTTTAATTTTTAAATAATATTAACATTTATATTATAAAAATGAAAGTTAAGGTTCAAATTTAAGCTTGAAGCTTGAACCGAGCTCGAGTTCAAACTTTCAATCCAGTTAATTCTTATAATGTTTTGAATTCAAGTTGTTTCGAGCTCGAGTAAATCTTTAATTTTTAATTTTGAGTTCGAACGAGGCTCGACAAATTTTGAGCTCAGCTTTGAAGTTTTGAGTCGAACTTAGTAAATAGTAATACTCGAGCTCGATTCTATTCGTTTATAGCTATGGTAAGAACGAGGCCATGGGATGAAAACAAATGAATTCTAGCTAATGCAAGCAGTTCAAAAACTAGAAAGCTCTTCAACATCGAGACATTTCGTCGAACACGATGGGTACATCACTCCACATTCCATTTTCGTAAGCCAAAATCCTCTAAACAAAAGAACAGATGAGAGGAAACACAGTATGGATAAATGGGAAGGCAATGGGGCAAAGAAGAACCTGGGGTTTCATACACGGGTGGCTACGAGTGGGTAGGCGAAGTCCTGGTTTTGACAAGCTCCACTATTAGCTAATTAATAGAAAGAGAGAAAGAAGAAGGTAGCAATGGTGGCAAAAGCAGTAGGAGTAACCTTGGGAAGGAAATGTGAAGCTTGATGAAGTAACCATTGACATAGCTGCCGCCATTCTTCCAGCGGGTTTCCTTGGAAATTTTTAAATTTTCTTTCTAGAAATGGTAACTATAGAGAAGACGGAAGCCGAGATAGAAGAGGTTTGACAGTTTAACTACGATATCAGGGTTTAAGCAACCCGAGGTCGCCACGTTGGATGGTGTCCGGATATTCTTGTTCCCAGTAAGATTGTTCCAATTAAATTGGAACAATGAGAACCTTTATCTCGAAATACATTTAATTTTAAATTTAAAAAAGGTTTAATTTATTTATTAAAACCCAATTTTTTATGGAATTATAAAAAAGACCCTAAAAAAATAAAATCTCTCATTTCAACCCCATTGTCAATCGTCGTTGGCCATCTCCGGTAACCATTGTCATCGTCGAACGGTTACCCACCTGTCGTCACCCACCCATTGATCAATCGTCATTCTTACAGTCACCTAAAATCCCTAAATTTAAAATCCCCAATATTCAAATCTCTAATTTCCAATTTCTATTTTCTAACCCAAACAGTAGTCGGTCATCTCCGGCCATCATTGTCGTTGTTGAATGGTTGGGTTTTGATCGGAGTAGCATGGTGGTTCGAATGGTGACGGCGGTGTGACTTATGGAAATCAGAATCAACCGAAATCGATGAAAAATGATGACGGAGGCTTAAAATCCAACGAACTTGTGAACACTTATCCATGAAAAACGGTGGTATATTACGACAGAAAACCAATGGGAGATTGATCAAAGGTCGACGTCGGTGATGATGCCGGTGACGATCATTGCTAGCCGACCGACGACTTTCGGGAAGGGGGAAGGGGGAGGCGAGCTGCATGGGGTTCTATTTTGGGTTTTGGTTTTTTTAAAAAAATATTTTTAAAATTTTTAAATAAATTCTCAAAAATTTCAACACGTGCCACTTAACAAAGATATTTAACGACGGTTAACGTCCGGGTATCTAAAAGTATAACGTTTGAAACTTTATGCACCTATTTTTAACGAAAAATTCTTTAGGCACTACAGTGTATTTTGAGGCAAAGTTTGTGCACTTATTTTTATATTAAAGATAATTTTCAACTTTGCAACATTAAATATTCACACCCAGACATCTATGATGATCGAATCTCAATAAGTTTGTTTTTATATATGAAATAATTTGATAAGAATTTGATGGGTTCGACTCAACTCAACTTTATAAAGATGGTTTTTTTTTAATTTTGACATTCGGGATGGAACTTTGGGGCAGGACGAGAGTCGGGTTATAGGTGAAAAATCATCGATCTAGCCCAATTAAATTTTCTTATATATATATATATTTGAATTTTTTAGAAATTTTATATTTATTAAAGTATATTATTTAATTATTAAAAATATAAAAATTATTATAATCGTTTAAAATATAATAAATAATTATAAATACATTATTATAAAATATATTATTTTAATTATTTTAAAATATTAATATATTTGAATCAGATCGAATTGAGGTTAAGGTTTTAGTTTAAAAATCGAAACGAGACCGGGGCGGAAAAAAACTTAAAATTTATCATGGCAGGGCAAGGTTAGGTTTTAGATAATATATTTTTGGGTCGGGGTCGGAACGACCAAAAAACCAACTTACCCTACCCTGTGCCCATCCCTACGTAAAGTAAACAAATGGTTCCGACCCGACTATAGTATGTGTTGTTTTTTTTAATCTTCCAATTATTAAAAGTTATAAAATGATCATTTAATTATAAGATATTATTTTATTAAGTCTCATATTATTAAAAGTTACGAAATGATTATTCGATTATTCATATCATTTAAACTCGTCATTTTCCTTTAAAAATTTGATGATAATCTAAGTTGAACGTTAATTTGTTGACTATGATATGATAAAATATGATCTCAAAATCTCGCCATAATTCCTTCTAAATGAATGTAATCTTATCTTTGATAAAAAAAGTAAACGAAATTGAAAATAATCATTATAAACAAGAATCGATTCAGAAATCGACATTAGGGTTCAATTATGCTTTTGATTTTCCAGTTTTTTTCTTGGCTAAACTTGATACATTTCTGAAATCAAACCAGGCCATTAACTCGTTTCTCAGCAACAGCATTGGAATTTCACGAGTCCCATGACTTCCATGGTTTCATCGCACATGCTCCGATGTTTCCGAAAACCGACGTGCTTCGATCTATGCCCAAACTCGTTTACGGGGAGCGAGATCCGATGTTTTTATTGCATCGATCTTGGCAGCCACGATGAAATCGTTCATGCTCAAGCCACCTGCGATTCAAGCTAATTCATGCAAGGTGAATGATTTTCGTAGGCAGCTAAAGGAGAAACGGTAAGTCGGAAAGTTTACCGATCGACGAAGTCCATAGCTCAGCCCGGACTTGATTCGGTTCTTCCAAGTGGAGACTTGGAAAATGACCGGTGGCTTCCGTAACCTTACAGATCCGATTGACGAGTTCGACTCCGGATTTAAAATCTTTCAGTTTCCACAAACACCGCAGTTTAAGTCCACCTTCTTCATCCAACAGCCTCCAGCCAACAACCTACAAGCAAAAGCTATCTCATCGTCAACACAAATTCCCAGTAATAACTAAAGATGCTTAAAATGTTATCAACAGAGTATCTTTCCATTTTCGTATGGCTTAAAAGCTTGCTTTCAAACGATGAGCGTTTCGGCCAGCGGCCGAAAAATCTTTAATTGAAATGTTAGACTCTAGCAGGAGATTTGCAGCACTAAATCAGATTCTTCAAGCTGCTAATATAAGACATGGGTTAGGGTTTTCTAAACATAGATTTGCAGCACTAAATCAGAGTATGGCATTACGACTACTCGAGTTTGACATGAATTGAATGAATTCGACTCGAGTTCGAACTTGACATGAATTCTTAATAAACCAAAACGAACTACTTGATACTTAAATCGAAAAAATTGTAAGCAATTCGAAAAAATAATATATTAATTTTTTTTAATTATATTATTAATAATATTAACATTTAGGGTAAATTACGTAGTTAGTACCTAAACTATCAATTTTGATCCGTTTTAATGCCTAAACTTTCAATATTTTCAAAACCATACATAAAGTTTAGGTTTTGTTTCATTTTAGAACCCACCGTTAAAACTTTAGTTTTTGTTTCATATTTTTAATCGTTCAAAATTTAACAATTAAGTTTTGAAAAAATTAAAAGTTTAGGTATTAAAATGGATCAAAACTTATAGTTTAGGTATTAAACGCGTTAATTTTTTAACGACCGATACTAAAATAAAATGAAAACTAAACGTTAAATATGATTTTGAAAAAATTAAAAGTTTAGGTACTAAAATAGATAAAAAAAACTAACAGTTTAAGTACCAAATGCCTAATTTACCTTAACATTTATATGTTGTTTTTATGAAAAATGTAATATAAGGTATTTAGTATCATGGTTTAGGATTGAGCTCAAAACCGAGTTAAAGCTTCAATTGAGCTAAGTCTCGTGTGTTTCGAGTTAATTTTTTCGAGTTCAAGTTGAAATTAACAATTTTAAGCTCACTCGAGCTCCACTTGACAAGTTTACAGCCATAAATCAGAGTCTTCCAAGCTGCTAATACAAGACATGAATTGGGGTTTCCTAAGCATGGAATTACGATAATTTCCACACCCTAAATTTGAAATTCCAAAACAGATTGCCAAACCTAATGAACAATACCTTCTAATTTGAAGGATTGCTAAAGCATCAACAAAGCTAACAACGGAAACTAGAGAAAAGCAATGCAATCCCAATTAACATGAAATCACCATCAAAAAGGAAAAGGGCAAAATCACCTTCTTCAACAGAGCCTTAGCATCATCGAGTGACATGGGAGGCTGCAAAGGAGAAACAGGGGAGCAATCTTGCTGGGCAAGGGAGAGAGCCGTGGCATTGGGAATAAGGATCTTATGCTCGGTGTCAACATTTCCCAACACTTTCTCGGCAAACCCACTGGCTATTTCGGCTGGGAAAGGATCCCGAGCCCCGAAATCACCCAAGAAATCATCGGCGCTAATGGCTCGAGTTCTGAGGGAGACTCGACTCTGACCCTGAGTTGACGGATAAGGAAAAGCCGTGACTGAGTGGCGGCGCGGAGAGGAGGAGACAGGCGGAAGGAGGAGAGTGAGGGGGAGGTGAGCGGCGGAGGTGGAGGCCATCGGAGGCTGGCGGTTAAGGAAGCTAAGAAGAAGAAGAAGGAGTTCGTGGTGGAAGCCTTATCTGGTCCCTTGAAAAGTGTTTCAAGCAGCTTTAAAGCTGCGGCACTCACTCTGGTTGGTTGGTTCCTGACCATTCAATCTGCTAGTGGCTGGTGTTAGACGTGCAAATCAAAGGAAATTTTGCAATTGGGTAAACTACTGTGTCGGTCACTAAACTATTGGAATGGTTTTATTTTGACCACTGAAATATTAAAACAGTTTCTATCAAGCCACTAAGGGTTAATTGTTAACAAAATTACTAATGTGACAGTTAAGTAAATTTATACAGAATTATTGATCTGGAGGTTAAATTAATTTGTATAATAACATGTTTTATCTTTATCACTTATATATTCTAATAATTGATATATCCTAGTTGATGTTTAAATTTAAAGAAAATTGTCTAGACTTTCTTTAATAATATGTTTGATTTAATCACTTACATATAGGGATGGGTATGGATAGGGTTTTTGGTCCACCCGACTCGATCCGAGAACAATGAATCCTCCACCCAAGACCCGACCTAACCCGACCAAAATAAGTTTTCACTCGACCTGACCCGAAACAATAAAAAATTATTTTTATTACTTAATTAAAAAAATAATATATAAAAAATATTATTGTAATTATTCCTAAATATTTAAGGTAAAATTATATATTTTTTCGAGTCGGGTCGAATATTTTTCACCCTAATCCCGAACCCGAACATCACATTAAAATAAACCCAACCCAAGCCCGAACTTTTTTAACCCAAACTTTTTTTTAAAAAAAATTCCGACCCGATCGGGTCGAAACCCGTCAGGTTCGAGTCTCATGCCCATCCCTACTTACATATTGTTTAATGTCATTTATATAAGAGTATGAACATTCATTACCAAATAAACCTTTAAACAAATACTACTTTATATTCGCCGAGAATTATTAAAAAAAGCCCATGAAAATATTGCCAAACAAAATTTGAAGTTTATGTACTGGTTTAAAGCCCCAAAAGCATTTTATCCCGCAAAGGCTAAAGCCCTCAACTCACAGCAAATCATTTGGAAAGTAGCAACTGCAGAAGTGCTAACCTTTCTATGCATTATATGATCTATGCGACAACCGTGACACTTTATAGTAGGTAAGAATCCCCAGCATAAACCCATCAACACCCAATGAACATTTCACTACAATATTTGCATATTTGCCTCTTTTCTCCTGATTTGAACTAAAACCATATGCAAAGATCAGATGAATGTATCCCCCCCAGACTCCAGCAAGCTCACAATTCGATAAAAATAAAAAAAAGCCGGGCAGCCCTTTGGCAAGCTAATCGTAGTTCGACTTCCTCTGTTCGTAACATCGACACAATGAAGCAACGGCCTTCTCCGACATTGTGAGACCCATCCTAATACGGTCTGTATCTCGTTGGGCGCCTGAACCTTGGAACCCTCCTGAAAATCATTCAATAACAAGATTATCTATCCAGCGGAAAATCTCATATACACGGAAGTGAAAGGATCTCCCTGTGCTGGATAGCAGAGATCATAATAGGTACAATTCCGAAGCACATGGAGATCCTTTTTTCAGAAAATACAAACCAACACTATTTCCAAAAGCCCGAGGAGAAACCAAATGTCAAGTTATCCTTTTTACCATGCAACAACCGGACCAAGAAAACGTGCTGGCATGCTTACCCATAGCTATATGGAGGATAGAACACAGAGCCGGCATAAAGGTCTTCGGGAGCGGAAATACGGGTTGGGTCCCCTTCCTCGATACTGTTTCATTCCAGGAACATTTGTTCATTTCGCAGACACCTGTAAGTAAGTTAAACACACTCTTTATCATCATGCATGTCACATTAGTGATATAATAATCCACAAACTAATCAAGTTATAAACCTTCAATTGACGACCGTGCAATTCCGATTCATTTAAAAGCACAGCGTTTTGAACAGCATCAGTTTCAACAAATTCAACATAGGCAAATCCTTTGGGCTGACCAAACTTGTCGGTCAAAATTGTCACTCTGTTAACTGTTCCACAGGATTGGAAATGCTGTTGAACTTCCTCAGGCGTACAGGCATAGTCTACCTGTTGTTACAAAGATATAAAGAGAAACAAAAGATTAGCCCACATTGAGTTACACTACATTACATCGAGACCATTTTAATTATACTCCTCAACAATCTATAAGTCACCTAAAGAAGCCAATCGATGTAAAAAGACATGAAAAACTACATCGGCATTTCCTCGTAATAAGTTCTTCAGGGTCAAACTTGTTTAAATAACAATGAACATGTTATACTGTCCATGCAGATGCAAATAACAACTACTCATCAGATAAGGAACGGACACAGGTATGATAAGGTTTTTCTAGGTTTCCCATGCATTTGGAGAATCCTTGGAGGTTGACTTGGATGCTTAGCTACATTTACTTCAAAAAAAAAAATGAAGAGTTGAAGAAGTATAGCATAAAAAAGCATTTTCAAGCCAATATGCACAAGCATAAAACATAATTAGGTAGCAATCAAACTGGTAAATCACTTCTAATCATCAAGATACGAATTCGACTGCAGATAATGCAAATGTCACGATTTAGCCAAACAAACAGATAAAAAGGCGCGAAATATATCTTTTCTTTGAAAAGGACATTGGAAAGGATTGATAAACCTTACATTACCGACATAAATCGAGCGAGAATCAACTTCCTCCTTCTCAGCTTGGGTCACAGAAGTACCTGCAGAATCTTCATATACATCCAGGAAAAGAAAGCAGAATCACATCAGTTTCTTAGAAATAATAATTCACACGCACAACATTCCATAGTTCATACATGAATATTCAAAATCGATAATATTTTAGATTTTTTCTATGTAACTTTTACTGATAATCTGTTTTCGCCCCCTCTGACATTTTATAAGCTGGCTCTACTCTAAAATTCTATAAATTTGCCTCCTAACATAAAATCCTATGTCGGCCCTGTTTCTCAATTAAAGACAATTAAATCTAAATCGAAGTCAAAATTGTTTTAAAATATAACCAAAAATAATTGAGATTGAATACAATTAAAAAAAACCTTGGCCACCGCCCATTTCCTTCTGGACTTTAGCCTGTATTTCACGTAAAGCTCCGGCCTCATCCTCAATCTCCTTAAGTCTCTTTTTCATATCCTCCAAGTCCTAAAATCAAATGTTTTAAACAGTGTTTCCATTATACACGAAGCTCAAGCTAAAGCCTAGGAGAAAAGGAGCTAAAAAGCAAAGAAAAGAGGGGCAACCTTGGAGTTTGAATGGGGATCATATTGAAGATCATGATCGTTGCCTTGGTAATCTTCTGCTCCACCAGGCATGTCCACGTCAGCGTCCATCTCACCTTCCTCATCGGGAATCTCCCCTCCGTACATCTCGTGCTCTTGCTCTACGTGTTGCTCCATCCTCTCCCTCCCTTCCCTCTTGGACGCCGAGAGTGAAATTGATCAAATTAGGGTTTCGAATATAAGGTTTCTTAATGGAATTTAAACAAAAACGAAAGAGATCGACGGTGGGGGAAATCTCACGTGCCACAGTTTAATATACTATTAAATAAAAATATTATCGGTTTTATTATTATTATTTTAATAAAATTAATAAAAAATTATTAAAATTATTATTATTATTATTTTTATTTATTTTATTATTATTATACGTTTTATTAATTTTAATAATGTTTTAAGTAAAGTTTTATTATAATATGTTTCTTCATGGATGATATTGGCAGAAAAAGGCTAAATTTGTATTTATAACTAATTGTTGGGGGTAGTTTTGGGTTTTGCCCTTCTGCTAAAATAAGAGGCCTGATTTTAGATTAGGCCTAGGCCCCAGCATTATATCCCACCGTTTTTGTAGTTTACTGTAATATCCTTCATCGTTATATTTCACAAAGGATTATATCTTAAATAAGTGTCTAAAGTATACTTATATTTTATTTAAGTACGTAAAATATTTTTTAAATCAAAATAAGTATTTAAAATTATTTTTAGTTAAAATATGTATCTAAAATATTTTATGTCAAAACAGGTACTTAAATTATTTAAAATTTTCATTTAAGTTCTAAAAAGTTTACATATGATATTAATTAGAGAATATTTTAAGTACTTCGATAAAAAATTAAATACTTTCAATATCTCTTTTGATTTAAAAAATATTTTAGGTATTTATTTTGAAAAAAAAATATTTTAGATATTTATCTTAATAAAAAATACTTTAAATATTTAAATAAAAAAATGATATATCTTAGCCACTTATTTCTTATATAAATTTTTTCACAAAATCGGATTAATTTATTATGTTCGATTATATTCATTTATTATGTTTGTGCATGTTCGTTTACGTTCGTTTATATTTTTTAAGTTAAGATTTTGGAATCACCCATAGTTTCCTTTGATTTAATTACTGTGTTTCTTTTTTTTTTCTTTTTTTAATCACTTTATTTTTTCTCCTATTTTAATTATTGTATTTTAAAAATTTTCAATTTAATAACTAAATTTTATACGTTATATTATTTTAATCACTTCGCTGCTAACTTTGTAAGTGCGTCATGACTTGTCTTAATCAAACAATTTTGACTATGGCAATATTGGTTTGACCGATAACGACAACACCAATTCTAATGTATTTTGCGGTGTGACTGAATACCCACTTGAGGATGTCTAAGGAAAGACAATCTAATATAAGGTTAAAGAAATGCGCTATTGGAAATATTAATATTTTTTTTAACATTTCCGGTAGAACGCTACCTAAAATATTATTTTTTCTACCGAAAATGTTAATGTCGAAAATAATTATTTAGGTAGCTATGGATATGGGTAATGGAGGTTTCTCAAGGCTTGTCTCATTGTTGTTGTGGCTTTGCACCACTATGTTTGCTATGCTTGTTTTCTTCTTCTTTTTATTCTTACGTTTGTTTTATGATCATGCAATGGATTTATAATTATTCTTCCTAACAATATTATTTTTATGTTAGAGTGACAATATGCAATCAGGGGAAATGATCACGTGCGACAATCTTAATATACGGCTAAAAAAGGCGCTATCGGTTTTGTTATTATTTAAATAATAAAACCAGTAAAAAATTACGTAAAATATTATTATTTCTACCGGTTTTATTATTATTGGATGCTTTACCGAGTTTGGTAATATGTCCGGTAGAAAAATAATATTTTAGGTAGCGTTTTACCCGATATATTATTAAGCCTGGTAAAGCGTCCAATAATAACAAAACTAATAGAAATAATAATGTTTTACGTAACTTTTTACCGGTTTTGTTATTTAAATAATAACAAAACTGATAGCACCTTTTTTTTAACCTTATATTAAGAGTGTTGCACTGTAGAAATTTTTACACAATCAGGGATAGGTCGCTTGAATCATAGATTTTACCATTCAACGGAATCGTGTACGACCATATTAAGATAATCACATCATCAAAGTGTAACGGAAAAATAACGAAGTGGTAAAACAATTTCGATGTATAAAGTTTATTTATTAAATAGAGAACTTTTAAAGTACAATGATCAAAATAAGAGAGAGAATGAAATTCAGTTATAAATTATGTAATTTACCCAAAAATTTAATTAATTTAACTTATTAATTTGATGGCTTTAATCGATTTAAAGCAAAAATACTGTAATTTAAAAGAAAAAAAATGTGAAATTCGTATTATTTTTCTCTCAATGTAACATTCTAACTCATAAATAAATCTAATGTGATCATTTGACCAACGTTTTTCGTCATTGACCGCTACGACACTGATGTGGTGATCCATGCTGACTGATAACGTGACAGATGACATTAAATATTAACTAAATCGGTAACTCAAACATGACAGATGAAATGTCACATCAACATCGTAATGGTTAACGATATAAAAAATTGGTCAAAGGGCCACATTGGGTAATTAGAGAAAAAATAATACGAGGGCCACATTAATATTTTTTTTCAAAGTACTGGGACCTCTGATGCATTTTTGTGTTGATTTAAATCAAAAGGCCTTTAGTCACCCTTTAAACCATTGAAAATAATATATATATATATATATATATGGCGCAGGAATCGACTTACCTCAGTGGTTAAAATAATTGTTGTTACTAAAATAATATATCTTGGTCCGTTTCGGTACCTAAACTTTTAAATTTTTTCAAAACATCACGTTAAAATTTGAACAGAGTACTAAAATGAAATAAAACCAAAATTTATATATTGTTTTGAAAAAATTAAAGGTTTAGGTATGAAGACGGACAAAAATTGATAGTTCAAGTATTAAACATATAATTTACCCCTAAGTGAATCGTTTTTTCTCCCTTAGCTTCGACTCTGTTCTCAAATCCCATCTTTTTTTTTCCTTGAATCTCTTGAATTCGTATGATTTTTTTTTGGTTTCGTTCGGTTAGGGTTTTGGAGCCATTTATAGTTTCCCTTTGATTCAACATTTGTATTGACCAACTGATCAATCACAGCTAAAATTTGAATCCCTTTTTATATTTTGGGTGAAGATTTGAATGACTTCCACTAAAGAAAGTGACATCGCTTCCGATACTCCCTCTTCGTAAGCTTCAGTCTCTTTCTCTCTGATTTCCTCGTTTCTCTTAACACAAAATCTGAATGGAATATGTTTAACACAAATCATGTTTCTTTTAATGAATGAATTTTCAGGCCCAAAAACGTGTACAAGGATCCGGATGATGGGCGGCAGCGATTCCTACTCGAATTAGAATTCGTGCAGTGCCTTGCCAATCCTACTTACATCCACTGTAAGTTCTCAATTCGAGTGAATTAGGGTTAGACCGCATATTTCTCAAATGTAATGCTTTGGTTGTTTATGGTAAAATTCCTGAATAAATGCTCGATCACAGGCACAAGTTAGATCAATTTGGTTGTTCATTGTGTCAAATTTTAGTTAATCTAAACCATTAGTTGTCTTGTTCTTGAAGTTCCTGCCTTTTCATTTGCTTTGCATTCAGTTATTGAATTTGCCAATTGGGTGCATTCTTCATTGATAATTGCTCAATTAATTTGTGATGCAGATTTGGCTCAAAATCGCTATTTCGAAGACGAGGCATTTATTGGATACTTGAAATATCTTCAATACTGGCAACGACCAGAGTACATAAAATATATCATGTCAGTAACCTGAAAGCTTGCCATTCGATGCTTTAGACTTGGATTCCTTAAAACTAACATATATTTTACTCCATGATAAATGATGAGTAATTGCGCCATAACTAATTTATAGCCCCCATATTTGTGTTTCTCTATGTGACACATGAACTTATGTAACAAGATGATTGCAGGTATCCCCATTGCCTATATTTCCTTGAACTTCTTCAAAATGCAAATTTCCGAAATGCAATGGCACATCCTGCCAATAAGGTTTGGCTCTAATCTTTCTTTCTCAGCCTGTTGTCTTAATAAATATTATCACATTGAAAAGTGTCTTATGGATCCCCTTCTTAAGACTGAGCTCGTGCAAAAGAAAACTGTTCTGATGGTTATTGATAATTAGAAAGAAATGCAGTTGGTTTTATAGGGTTGTAATGTTCGTTGTTTTAAGATGCATATCAACAAAACTAGTAGCTTATGTTAAGAGGAATATTTTCAGTTGTTACAGAACGATATCACACGATTCTCTGGATTTTGTCGACTAAACTATCTTCATGATCACTAAATGAAATATGTGTTACTATTTTATATCAATATGATTTCATGTTCACTTTTTGGATGACTTTTCATTTTTGTACCAAACATTTATAGGAAGTGGCACATAGACAGCAATTCTTCTTTTGGAAGAACTACCGAAACAATCGGTTGAAGTTCATTTTGCCTAAGCCTCAGCCTGAGGAAGCTCCTACACCTGCAGTCCCGCCCCCTGCTGCTGCTCAACCTCAGCTTCCCTTGTCAGCTAGCAATATTGCCATGACAACTGCTCCTCCAGCTCCTGCTTCAGCGCCTTCTCCAATGCCTTATGGCCTTGCCTCTGGATCTGCTCTTGTGAAAAATGATATGCGGAATAGTGGAATTGATCGAAGAAAAAGGAAGCATGTAAGTTTGTACCCACAAATATATTTATATTGCTATTCTTTCACGGAGGATCTTAAAGACCCTCATTCTGATGATATCACTTTGATCATCACAGGAAAGAAGCTAAACTTGATGAACCATCTATGTTGAAGTAGCAGGATGTGTATTTCATGAGGTAACGTTTTTTTGTAATGAAACTGATTAGCCAGTATTCTTATGTTCCTAAATATTGTTTTTTAATAGCACTGTGACCATCAAGTGAAAGCTCTGCTCTGCTCTGCTTAGTTAATATCTTAAGTTTATGCTTTAGTGACTTGTAGCATTCACATCTGTGTATGTGAACTTTTACATTACACCAAGGGCCTGCCACTATGCATGTGTGATTTCTGTGATATATTGATACCGATCAATGGTCAAATGAAACACAATCCTATTTTGTTTTATCTCTCTGCTTTTGGTGTCATTGTCATTAGTGAACGAACGATAACACAACACAATAACATAGAATTGTTTTGCAGGTTCATTGACCATTGTCGGGGGAGCCGTTAGTGGACGAACAATAACACATTGCAGTAGTATTAGTATAAACCATGACACTGGATTGAATTGGTAGTGCCCTTTGTATTGCCTTTGAATTGTTTAAATGTAGCTGAGTCTTGTTTTTCGTAGTTGAAGTTATCAGACGTTTAACGGTTTTGCAGCTAGCTCTGTTAACCGATCGAAAAATATGTTGGCCTCGTATATTTCACGGTTTTTGTAGCACCTCAGGCACTAGTCATGCACACCCCATGGTCTCAGCTTCAAAAACAAATCAATAGCCAATCTTGAGCCGATAATCAAATAGCCAGTTGTACCATCTTTTATATTGGAATAACGCAATTAAATATCTGAACAAGAAGACATTTTTGCAAAGATAATTATGTACTGTTAAATCAAAAATAGGCCAAAAAAAAGGATAGATGAACATTGCCCATACCTCTCTGGCAGAAAGTTATGGGATAATGTACTTTTCTAAAAACGTATGGGGCAAATTGTCTACTTCTTCCCCACAAAGAACCTATTGAGAAGATCAAAGAAGCAAAAGCAACAACAATCCCTTTGAACATCAATGGCTTCCATCGCCATATCCGCCTCCTTACAAAGAGCTTGCAGTTCACATCATGTCACCAGGAAGCAACATGCACAATCCAGACCAGCTTATTCTCTGGGGACGAAGCAAGTTATGAATGCTGTAACCTTAGATGTTGAAGGCCAAAAAGGGTTTAAAATCGATGAAAAAGAGAAACCATCTTTACATATTGATAAGCCAAAGGATTCCGAAGATCAGTCGACAGACAAGTTCGAGACTGGAGCTTCAGCTAGGATGTTCGAGGACGAACGATGGAAGAATGGAACATGGGATTTGAATATGTTTGTTAGAAATGGTAGGATGGACTGGGATGGTGTGATTGTTGCAGGTGAGCTCTCCATGAATATCTAATTGATATCTACACACTACACGTTGTATATACATATATGAGACTAATTAACTGCAATTTTCTCTGGTTTTAATAGAAGCAAAGAGGAGAAAGTACTTGGAGATGTACCCAGAAGCTAGTTCAAACCAAGAACCAGTCCACTTCAGAAGCTCAATCATACCCTGGTGGGCATGGTTCATGCGAACATATCTTCCCGAGGCTGAATTGCTCAATGGTTAATGTCCAATTCGATCGGTCAAGTTAATTTTGGATAGGTTCGATTTGTGTTTTAAAAATTTTGAATCACTTGCAGGTCGTGCAGCAATGATAGGGTTCTTCATGGCTTACGCGGTGGACGGTTTAACCGGGATGGATATGATTGGACAGACAGGCAATTTCGTGTGCAAGATGGGATTGTTTGCAACAGTCATTGGTGTCGTGCTGGTGAGGAAATCCCAAGACTTAGATAACCTGAGGAAGCTAGCGGATGAGGTTACTTACTATGATAAACAATGGCAAGCTTCCCAGAAAGACGAAGAAACTGGAAATTCTTAAAAATTCTTTTAATTTAGTTTCTTTGTAAGAATTGTAAGAGTTTCTTGCTTGTGATACAAGCAACTATGGAAGTTCAAATCTTGCTTAGAATGATGCTCTCTTATTCACAATGATTAAGCTTTTATTAGCTTAAGTTTCTATTAATAACTTCTATTGCACATACTTAAATCTTCATTGAAAAGTTTAAACAAGAAAAAAATAATGTAACCATCATTACAGGTTATAGAATTACGGGTAAACTAAGCATGTAGTACCTAAACTATCAATTTTGATCCGTTTTAGTACTTACACTTTCAATTTTTTTAAATCATACCTGACGTTTAGGTTTTATTCATTATAGAACCCCACTGTTAAAAACTTAATGCTTTTAGTATCTAAACTACCAATTTTAGTCCATTTTAATACCTAAACTTTCAATTTTTTAAAACTTAACATTAAATTTTGAACGGGTACTAAAATAAATCAAAAACTAAAGTTTTTAACAGAAGTACTAAACTGAAACAAAAACTAAATTTTAAGTATGAATTTAAAAAAAATTAAAAATTTAGGTACTAAAACAAGCCAAAACTAACAGTCTAAGTACTAAACACGTAGTTTACCCTAGAATTATTACCTAAAAACAACAGTTATATAAGAGACGAGACGTTCTACATGCTAAACAACAATGATATGGAGATTTACATGCTAAACAAGTTTAGGTACTAAAATGTTTATGATGGTCCATGAGTACCTACCAAGAAGTTCTACATCCACAACTTTCACATATAACAGATGAAGATAAACAACAATGGATATATGACAAGAGATTTCATCATTGATATGGAGATTTACATATTTTATATGATTTATTACCAATTCCACACTCGATGCCACCAAATTTACCTGTACAAATACGACTCTGTAAGGATCCTCTAAAGCCGGACGACTTTGTTTCTTCCTCGATCACTTTCTTAAGGGAACCGCTGATGTCTCCTAGTGCCCAAGCCAAGGATATAAAGGATATATAGGGATGGCAACTCAACCCGAATCCGACGGGTTCCGACCCGACCCGATCGGGTCGGATTTTTTTTAAAAAATTTCGGATTTGGGTCGGGTCGGGTCGGGTTTTTTTTTAAATGCACTGTTCGGGTCGGGTCTAGGGTAAAAAAAATCCGACCCGACCCGACCCGAAAAATATATATAATTTTATCTTATATATTTAGGGATAATTACAATAATATCCCTCCATATATAATTTTTTTCAATTAAGTCACTGTTTTCATTGAATTAATTTTTTTTTTATTATTTCGGGTCGGGTCGGGTTTCTAAGTCATATATTCGGGTCGGGTCGGGTGAAACATTAATTTTGTCGGGTCAGGTCGGGTCACGGGTGGAGAACCCTTTCTTCTCGGGTCGGGTCGGGTGGCCCAAAAACCCGACCCGACCCGACCCATGGCCATCCCTAAGGATATACGAGGTCTCGGATCCTGTAAATTGACAAACAATATGATAAAAGATCTTAGCTCTGAATCTTATGAACTATCATGCGTAAAGTATACCAACAGTGTCCCGACTATAGGGTATTGTTTTGTTGAGTCTTAACTATAGGACGTTGCTTTGTTGAATCCCCTAACTATTAAAAGTTACAAAATAGTCTCTACTATTCATATGTTCTAAACTTGTTTTTTCCGTTAAAAAATTAACTGCAATCTTAGCTGGACATTAACATGTTGACTGAGAGATGATAATCGTTCGAGATTTTGGGATAAAATTGTATCTAGGCCTGTAAACGAGCCGAACGTACACGAATGAAGGTATGTTCATGTTCGTTCATTTAATAAAGAAACGAACATACACGAACAAATTTTTTTTTGTTCATGTTCGTTCTTTTAAATGATAAAACACAAACGAACACAAACGAACATAAACGAACAACACAAACACAAAAAACAAACTTATTCGAACACAACAAATTAATATAAAAAAAGTAAACAAGAATAACTTAAAATTCTTTAATATAACCTGCAACTTTAGAGTTAATTTGTTCGAATACGACAAAAACATACATAAATCATAAATAAACTATATGAACATAATAAAGTCTTAAAATTAATTTGTTCAACAAAACAATCTTCTTGAAATCCAAAAAACTTCAATAATCTTCGTAACATATTCAACTTGCCCTCTGTTCGAACATAAATGAACGACTATAAATGAACATAAATAAACGAACATATAATCGAATGTTCACGAACGAGCCCTTTATTCGTGTTCGTTCATTTAATTAAACGAACGCAAAATCTTGTTCATTTTCGTTCATTTAATAAATAAACAAATATAAACGAGCTTCTCGCCGCACGGTTCACTGAACGTTCAGTTCATTTACAGGCCTAATTTTATTATATCAGAATCAGCATGTTAATGTTTAGCTTATACTGCCAACAATTTTTTTAATAAAAAAAGACGAGTTTGGAATATATGAATAGTCGAGTGATCATTTTGTAACTTTTAATAGTCGGGGACTCAACAAAGCAACACCCTATATCGGGGGACTTAATAAAACAACACCGTATAATCGGAGACCATTTGTGTACTTTACCCTTAATTTATTACAACCCAAACCTTATTGAACTCCGGAAGACTGTGAAGCTTGTAAACCTCATTAACGGCCTGAATTTGCTTAGTTATCTGAGAATTAATTGCAACCAAGTAAACACCATATTTTTTAAAATAAAAAGAACAGTAGCATATAGAACAAAAATAAACAACTCCCAGATGAGCATGGTCTATAAAAGACAGCCATCCTAACCAAATCAGAGATAAATATCCAACAAGTATGACAAACCGGTGCAGGTAAACATGATATAGAATTTTTACCCCAATTGAAGCATCAATCTTCAAATTTTTTTTTACCACTTTTAGACAACTACTTTTTCAGTTTTCACTTTAGTCTGTTAATATTACAAAAATTTATAAATAGGCTATACTGCACATTTAGATACAAAATAATACTTGCAACCATGTTTCCTGGTACAAGCTCATGAATTGGATTGCAAAACATCATGATGCATGATAAACTAAAGGGTAAACCACGCATTTAGTGCCTAAACTATCAGTTTTGACCCGTTTTAGTACCTAAACTTTCAATTTTTTTCAAAACCATACCTAAAGTTTAGATTTTGTTTCATTTTAGTACCCGGTGTTAAAAACTTAACACATTTAGTACCTAAACTATCAGTTTTGGTCCATTTTTGTAACTAAGTTTTCTATTTTTTCAAAATTGAACGTTAAATTTTTGAAAGGAGTACTAAGGAGAAACAAAAACTAAACTTTAGATATGGTTTTGAAAAAATTGAAAGTTTAGGTATTAATATAGACAAAAACTGATAGTTTATGTACTAAACGCGTAATTTGCCCTAAACTAAAAGCAGTAAACAACAATTGAAAGGCAAAAACTATACAAATATGGTTATATTAACAGTTATCTCCTAAAATGTAAAAACATATAGTTATATAGCAAGGAATTAATGATCATTCGAACGATAATATTAGATCGTATAGTGTAACATCAAAGGTAAATTTGCAGATGGAAAGGAATATTTTCTATGTTTCCAGTTATGAAACATAGCTTGGAAATCCAAGCATTTCTTGTGTCAAAAATGAAACAAGTAATAAAGCTATGATATCTTATCCTCTTGTGATTATCTTTTCTTTTTAATGTGACATGTCCAGTTATCCAAGCAGTGGTTCATAAAACAGTGAAAGTGAGCTCAATATGTGAAGGAACTACCATTTCCAACACAGTTACCTCAGCTAATCCTCCGGTAACCACTTCAAGTGAAAGAAAGGTTCGCGATTTATCGTCGTTGACGAAAACCTCCCATTTGTTAAAATCGATCCAATACCTATTCCAATAAGAGAAAAGAGCAAAACCATATTCTGGAAACCAGAAGGAAGAAAAAAAGACCATATATTTTTTAGCAATGGAACTAAGCATATGATAAAGATCGAACCGCTTTTGAAACTGAAGCTTCTGGCGAAGCATCGTTACGATAGAGTCGATCTGGTGAACTCTAATAGGAACTGTCCTTCCTAAACTTATGTGGAATTTCCTTGCTAAGTCAACTTGTTCAAGCTTATGTTCTTCTTTACAAAGTACATTCAATGGAACATCAATATCCACAACATGAAGACCGGGAACAAAGGATGAAACTTTCTTCAAAAACTGACCCATCTCTTTCTTTGAAACGGAAGGTATAAAAACTGAAATAAACAGAGTAAGCAAAAACATGGGCATTCTTCAATACTATTGATGAAGAAATGTGCAAGGTAACATTCTATTTGAAACAAATTAAAGGCGGGCACCTGGAATGTATACGTGCAAAACGTAGTTGCCTTCAACGTGAGGGAAGCTTCTGACCCGGCTAGGCTGACCGGTTTGCAAGAAATTCGACGACCCTTTTTTATTGTCAAGAAAAAAAGGAACAGTTGATGGGCGTAAAAAGGATAGTAAAATTCACTAAAAGAAAATGATCGGAAGTTGAGTGTAGTTCGAATTACCGATGGAATTGGGAGAGTGGAGGAGAGAAACAGGAGGCGGAGGGAGAGGGGATGAGTGTGGCTCCTCCGTTTGGGGCTCCGATTTGGCCGGAAGAATCGGCGGAGAGGAGTCATCGGATTCGGAGTCCGATGAGTCGTCATTTCCATATTTTGCTATAAGTGCTTCCATTTCCGAACGATTCGAAATCGACACTAAGTGAGCACGGCGGCGAAGCTGATAAAGATCCCCGACGAGGACAGAAGATGGGCTCCTAGTTTACGAGGCCTTTCTTTTTAGGGTAAACTGTATGTTCAGTTCCTAAACTATCAATTTTGTTTTATTTCAGTACTCAAACTTTCATTTATTTCAAAATCAGTATCTAATGTTTACTTTTTGTTTTGGAATAGTCCTTAAAATCTCAGCGGAACTGTTACAATATGACATTTTCTACGGTTAAATTATATCATTCATCAATCATTTTCTCACTCCTATTTTGATTATTGGAGTT